CTGACACTTCTTTTCACAGCATGGAGGTAAATAACATCACCTGGTATGTAATATCCCATTAAGCCTTTATTCGAGGGGCGGGGAAGATCGAGGTTTGTCCGAGCGAAGATGTAGGTTTCTCTGGCATCTCAAACTGATAGTTTCGTGTGAGGGTCACCTTGTTTAAGGGACGCTGGAAGTGCTCCCCTTGGAATAGCCTGGAAGACGTCTCCTGCATTTCTGTTTCCTCCACCAACCATTCATCCTCCTCCTTGTCCGGGCCATCCTCAGTAGAGGCTATCACCTCTCCTGACCCGCCGCCTAATTTGGACTGATGGCTTCTGAGCCTTCTAGTGGCCATGTTGTAACTTGGCCTACTGGCGGGCACCCATTACCACCCTGGGTGTTAAAGGGGGCACCCTATGCTAGTGGGAAAGGCCATGGTCCGCTCGTGACCAGCCACATCCACTCCGCCCCTGCCGGATATGGCCCTGGGTCGAAGGGGCCCGGTGCCATGCTTTGATCTGCTGGCATGAGCAGGGCATATTGGGATCCATCTGCATGGCTGCCTGCATTTACTTTATTTTATTACGATGGTGATGGTGTTGATAAAATATTACAACAGAATATGTAAACTCCAGTTTGGTATAATCTGTATACAGAAGTTTGTTTGTTAATGTTGACCTCACAGGATTTTGGATTGTAATATCCAACAATGGCAATAAAGTTTATTAAAAACTAAATAAATCTGCATGGCTGCCCCCCCCCCTCGTAAGTCTGCATTTGATTGTTCCCAGGGGGAGTCCGCTCTTGTAACTCTCCGAGGGCCCTGGGACTGATCTGGGGTGGGGGTGGCCATTTTACCTTAGGCCGGGGCCCGTTGACGGGGGGGGGGGGGTGTTGTAGCTCACCACACAGGCTGACCGACCTGCTGTCAATCCCGGCTTCCTTGGACTCCCTCTGCTCGACTACTACAGTTCGCGCTGCCACGGCACCACTCATGGTCGTGTGTCAGTGCTCTGTGTGGCGAGGGAGCCGTAACCTGAAGCTTCGGGTTGCTCACCTCACACGGCCAGCCTTGCTGCCTTTGGAGGGCTCTGTGTGGCCACCTCTCGAAAAAAATGGGGGGGGGCTCTCCTTCAACTTTTTCTTTCTAATCCCCTCAGCTGTTTTCTAGTCCTTCCGCTCATCCCTGCTCTGGAGAGCCAGTCTGGTGTAGTGGTTAAGAGTGCTGGACTCTAACCTGCGAGAAACGGGTTTGATTCCCCACCCCTCCACATGCAGCTGCTGGTGTGACCTTGGGTCAGTCACCGTTCTCTCAGAGCTGTCCTCTCAAGAGCAGTTTCTGCCAGCGCTCTCTCAGCCCCACCTACCTCACAGGTGGGGAGAGGAAGGGAAGGTGATGGTAAGCCGCTCTGAGACTCAGAGTGAAGGGCGGGGTATAAATCCAATCTCTTCTCTACTTCCAGGGCTTCCTTCTCTAGTTGAGACTGGCAGGCAAGGCTCACAACTCTTTCCTTGCAACATTCCCCACCACCACCACCACCCGGTAATCTTCTTGCATCTTGGGGCTGCCTATTGAATGTCTGCTTTTCTTTTAAAAGTTTACTTTCTTTGGTGCTTTGGCTTGGCGCAGAGCTCAAGCCTCCTACCTAAGTATTAAAAAGGTAATGGTAAAGGTTCCCTTGCTCGAAAGCCAGTCGAATCCGACTCTAGGGTTGCTCATCTCTGTTTCAAAGCCGAAGGGCGAGCGCTGTCCGAAGACGTTTCCGTGGTCATGTGGCCGGCATGACTAAACACCAAGGGGCACGGAACGCTGTTACCTTCCCACTGAAGTGGTACCTATTTATCTACTTGCAATTTCTTGCTTTCGAACTGCTAGGTTGGCAGGAGCTGGAACTAGAGTCGGGAGCTCACTCTGTCATGCGGCACTCGGGTCTCGAACTGCTGAACTACCGACCTTCCACAGCCTGCAGTTTAGCGTCTTAACCACTTGAGCCATGCTACCCAAAACTGGAGGGTCAGCCTGCGATCTCTCCAATAGGACCTGTGCCAAAACTGGCATCGCCCTACCTGAGCGAGCAGAGGCGTGACCTAACCAGCTGGATGACTTCCCCCTGACAGAAGGAGAATGAAATGTTCGCCCACTAATTTCTGAATGTTGCAATCTTCGACGTCAGCGTTGTGGCGATTTATTCTCCTGCACAGAGACTGATCTGTTGGTACTACACAGACCCGGCAGACGGGCACAGTTGGCAGATACACGTTACACCGGAGGATAAGCACGATAAGATGAACAGCTCCACGTTCTGTACCAGAAGTATTGCGGCCATATGTTCCCTCCCTCAGTTGGAAAACACAAAAGAAGTCTTGCAAATGTAACAACCCGAGACTGCCAAGTGACAAGCACATATTGTGCCCGAATACGTCTGTCTGTGGGACTTGTTACGGAGAGGAGGGGGAGAGACTTCGATCTAGCCAACTGAAGTTAAGAATGGAAAGGAGATACCTTTAAAAAAAACAAAACAGCAAAAGGCCACTTCCTCAAAGATTTAATACATTTATATACTGCCAGCCAGTCAGTGCTTTCAAGGTCAAGCTTTCAACATAACTCAAACACAAAGAATAAAAAGTACCAACAGAAAACTTAGAACAAGCGTCATCTTAATACCCCAGAAGACACCGAAGGCCCAGGAAAACAGCACTCTCTTCCCCTTTCTGCCTGTTGAGCAGAGACCAGGAGGGAGAGTTCTCCAAGCCAGGTGCCACCATGCAAAAGGCCCTGTCCACAACAGCCACATATGACCCTCATGCAAAGGAGCAGTTCACACACCTGGTGCCCCAACCTGCTTTATGAACACCTCCTATGACAAAACAGTGACATGAGTTGAAACTCAGAAATAGTTTTCTCTATATCTTGGCAGGTCAAGTTCACACAAGCCATCAGGGAAGGTCATTTTGCTAGATTAAGTTAGATCACCTTCAAAGGCAATAAGGGCTGGATATATGCAGGAAGATTCAAAGGCCGCAGAGAGAAATCCAGGCAGGTCAGTCAACCTGACGAACAACTTGCATGCAAACACCATGCCAAAAGTGAACCACCTCCTACCAGGGCGCTACTAGAACCCTGGCTTTGGGAACAATGACTGGATTAAAACAAAGAGCCTGAGATTCATGGAAGTGCTTGTCCATGCAACAAGCCAGTCCACCTTGCCTACCCCGTCTGACTCACTCTCAAAGCTATTCCCCACAAGGCTCCACAAATAGCTTTTCTAAGCAGCTGCCCCTTTGGCCTTTCCCTGCGGGCGAGACACTGAGGGGGCAAATGGGGAATGGGAGAGAGAGAGAGGAGTGCCAGGGTACGGCTGCTTCCGCACAGCAACAATCCTCACTGCCACATTTGCAGTGGCAACGGAGCATCCGCACAGCCGCTTTCCCCCATTCTTTCCTTCTCTTGGCCCCCAAGTGCCACCATGTCCCCCTACACCACAGGAGGGCTTTTGTGGAATCAGAACTTTTTCAGCCCCGGCCCCAGCCTGGCGGAACACGCTCCCGACTGAGATCAGGGACCTGTGGGATTTATTGCCATTCCGCAAGGCCTGCGAAATGGAGGTTTTCCACCAGGCCTTTGGTTGACGGGGTGGATGTCAAATAACATCAGCCTCCTTTGCTCAAGCGACCCACAGCTCTACTTATGTCTCGGGTGCCCAGCAGGGTTCCCTCTAAGCTGAGTTCGTGTGAGCTAACTCACAGTTTTTTAGCCTCCGGCTCACACATTTTTGTCTTCGCTCAGGAAGGAGGGCTCCAGAGCAAACTAATTGATGCAGCAGCCAAATCGCTCGCTCACAGCTTTAATACCAGGAGCTCACCAAGTAGAACTTTTGCTCACAAGACTCCACAGCTTAGAGGGAACATTGGTGCCCGGACGGAGTGATCTGTTTATACCGAATGCACTCCGCCCTCCTTGGCATGAGCCCAGCAGACACTGAAAGAAGAAATTATTTGCTGTGCTGTTAGCAGATACGGAAATGAGTTGACTTAATGTTAATGGCTCGAGCTGATGTTTTAATGAACTGTTTTATTAATTAACGTAAGATTGTATCGTTGGATTATGTGCTGTGCCCTGCCCTGAGCCTGCCTGTGGGTGCAAGGTGAGATACAAGTCTCAAAGATAAATAAATAAATATATATAAACTTGCTAGATCATTATAGCACAGTGGCCTTTCCATCACAGGAATGGAGCATTACAACATTATTGTGCTACAGCCATGCTGATTATTTTAAAAAAATCCTCCAGTGGCACCGGGGAGAGCAGGTGGGTGACCCAAGGAAAACGGAACTGGTGAGGATAAGCATCTTCCAAAACCTTCCTCTACACATGGTGTACAAAGGCTCTTTACAGTCTTTCCAAACACACTGTTATCAAACCAAGCTTTGGGAAAGGTCACAACAACGTAGGGGGAAACCCAGGAAGTGGTCGAGCAAGGGATGAGAGTGTGCAGATAGATGCTCAAGAAACCTCCCTGCAGTCTGGAGACCCAACCGGAGCAAAACCTCCCAAGGGGAAGCGACCAAAGCCAGACCCGTGAATCCCGACCCCACCACCACCGCCCCCCATTCCCTCTCACTTGCCAATTGCAAAAGACCGCGTCCCCTCGCCTCTCAAGCAGCTGCCCAAATCTGTCGCGCCTGAGAGCGGAAAGGGTTGCCAACAGCACCCGGAGAAACATGTCCTGCACCTTTAATACAGGCTTTAATGCTTGGAAACGGGCAGCCAACGCTTTCCATGAAGATAAATCACATCATCGCTGCATCCCTCTACTGAAGTGGCAGCAGGATTTTCCTCCAGGTCTGTTGGCAACCCCTGGGAGCCCTTCCCTAGAGCCCCTTCCAGATAATTGGGGGGGGGGAAGGCGGTTGCCAAGAGTCTCCCCCCTCCCCGGGCCGCCCTCCCCGCCGGGGTCTACCTCGCGGGGCTGGGGCCGGGGGCAGGGAAGGGAAGGGGAGGGGGCGGGGCTTGCCTTCGATGGCGATGACGTGCTCCCGGATCTGGCCCTGCAGCGCCGGCTCCTCCACCCGCTCCAGCAGCTCGTAGATGGAGTAGATGTTGGGGTGCACGGACTCGAAGCGGCCGATCTCCGCCCGGATGGCGGCCGAGTGAGCCAGCTGCTGCTGCTGCTGGTACTGCTGCTGCGGCGGAGGCGGCGGCGGGTAGTTCATGGCTGGCAGGCACAGGGCCCCGCGCCCGCCCCTCACTTCATCGCCAGCCGCCCGGAGGGCCAGCAGGCCAGGCCATGGAGACGCCGCCGCCCAGCGCCCTCACACGCCCCAGCCCGGCCTCGCAAACACGCAGCCACCCGCTTAGCCCCCCGACGACAGCCAACCACCGCTCGGCCAGGCGGGCCGCGGACACGCCCCCTAGCGGCGCCGGGGGGGGCGGGGACCGGGGCCGCGGCATGCTGGGGGATGTAGTTCGCAGGCGTCCCGGCGCCGGGTTCCTCCCGCTCTGATGGAATGGAGGGAAAGGGGGGGACGCCCCAGAGGTTCATGGGGATTGTAGTTGCGAAAGGGACGCGGTTCCGCAGCCCGTTCGGCGCTGGGCAGGCGCCAGTGCTCCCTCTAAGCTGTGGAGTCCCGTGAGCAAAAAGTCTACTTTGTGAGCTCCTGGCATTAGAGTTGTGAGCGAGCGATTTGGCTGCTGCATAAATTGGTTTGCTCTGGAGCCATCCTTCCTGAGCTAAGGCGAAAATGTGTGAGCCGGAGGCTAAAAAACTGTGAGCTAGCTCAGCTTAGAGGGAGGCGCGACTGTCCTCCGTTGGTCCCGCCCACTGGCGTCCAGCCTTGCCTTAACCAGAAGTACTTGAGGTAGCCGGTTCTCACGGAGGTGGGGAGGAGCCCTTTCAGTTTTTTGGCGGGGGTTCAGGTGTCTGACATAGGGCATTTTTGCACATGCTAAATAATTCAATTTCAATCCACTTCGGTTTGCAAGTGAATTTTGTCATTTCACAGTTAATATTCCTAAACCGCCCTGGGCCTGCCTTGGCGGGGAGGGCGGGCCATAAATTAAATCAGTTTTTTTAAAAAATCCAGTTGCAAAGTGGATTGAAAGTGTGTTGTTTAGTGTGTGTGTAAGCGCCCATAGTGTTGCCAATCGCCAGGTGCTGCTTGGAGATTTCCTGGAATTACTTTATTTGTTGCTATCATAGATCAGCCAACATTGATAACCCAGGGTGTCATCAGCTGTGAGTTCCCAGGTCCCCTCCTCATGGGCATAGGCGTAATCTTCGTGGGGGCGACGGGGCGTGAGCCCCCGCCGAAATTTTCAGGAAGGTACTCAGCCTCCCCCGGGAGCCACCCTTGCTCCTAGCAAAGCAATGCCTCTGGTCCAGCCCCAGCCCCCCCCCGGGAAATTGGAAAGTCTACACCCTTGCTCATGGGGGGGGATCAGGTGGTGTTCCCAGACGTTCCCAACATGATGATGTCACCTGGAAGTGACACCATGTCAGGGACATTGTACGGTGATGCTCTGGTTTGGGGTCAAAACTCTATGGTAAACCAGCTTCAAATCATAGAGTTTTGCTCTCAGAGCATCGCCACATGGAGGTTGGCAATCCTAATGCGGTGCCATCTAGGATCAGTTAATACCAGGAAAACAGCCATTTTCTCCAGGTGAGATTTCCAGCCACTACCCGGAGGTTGGCAATCCTATTGCAGTGCCATATAGGACACTCTTCAAAGCTGCCATTTCCTCCATGAAAATTAATCTCTGGAGAGTTTGCAGCTGGCTAAGTCTTTTTATTAGATTTGCAGCTGGCTAAGTTTGCAGCTGGCTAAGTCTTTTTATTAGATTTGCTTGTACTATTGAAGTCAGACTATGTGACGGAATTGAAAATCTGGGACCAGCAGAAAGTAAACACAGAACACTGCTGAGTCATATGACTGAGTGAGGAGGGGGCCATTTAGCTTGGAACCCTCAGTGATTGGCATTTACTGGACCAAACGGTCGGTTTGGGATTTTGGGCAGTTGGAAAGAAGCAGTTAGTAGGAGGTTGATGAGTGGAGTTAGCAGAGAGGAGTCAGCAAACTGAGGAGCTCTGTGAAGGAAGCAGACCTCTGTTCTGTGTGAACAGCCTAATAACAGTTGGAAGAGATAACTGGGGCTGAATAGTCTGGATTACTGAGTCCCTCTAAAGGAAAGAGGACAGTGATCAGACTGGTGAAAGGTTAAACACATCAGTTGTCACAAACACCCAAATACATTGCTCCTAAAGGAACTGGGAGAGGTGGTTAAGAGAGGGCTGAGGAACGGTCTGGCAGAGTCAGGACAACTGGTTGGTGGCCAGTTGGGCTCAAAAGGAGCCAGATCTCAAAAGCCAAAGGTTAACCACCAAGCAGTACACGAGAGTATGATTAGGAAGGTGTTTAGTGAATTGTTTAACATCTGTGGGATACTGGAAACAACAAACATACTGCTGAAGTGTAAACCAAGCCAAAAGTTCAAGTCTGAAAAGAAACAAATTATCCTCTGCATATATTTTCCATCCCCCTGTTGTGTTTTCTATAAATAAAGCCTGTTCTGTTTTGAAGTTAACAAGCCGTGGTGCCTAACTCTTTAATAAGTAAAACAAATACCCCGAAGAGACTTTTGCAGATTTGTGTAGGGGACTGGTCAGGAAAAACGAAATCTAACTCTGACTAGGTCCGGACACGCAGACCCTCACAGAACTGACTGTATAAGGGGGGTTCGTGTCATAGACTATTACATAGCTTTGAAATTTTATTGTATGTACATGTGGGTTGCCACTCCCCAGGTCCTGGCTGGGGTTCCCCTGGCTTATGGGGCTTCTGCCCACCACCAGCCAGCTGGCTGGCGGGGAAACCCCACTCCCAAAGGGCAACATTGTGCAACGTCCCCAACATGGTGCCGTCACTTGGAAACAGAGATCAGTTCACCAGGAAAAAATGGCTGCTTTCGAAGGGGGACTCTAAGGCATTATAACCTCCCCTTCCCAACATCTCTAGGTACCCCCCAAGCTGGATCTGGCAAACCTACCAGTAAAACATGAATGGTAGGTGCTAAGCTCTGAAGAAGAAGAGATTGGATTTATACCTCGCCCTTCACTACCCAAAGGTGTCTCAGAGCGGCTTACAAACTCCTTTCCCTTCCCCTCCCCACAACAGACACCCTGTGAGGTGGGTGGGGCTGAGAGAACTTTGACACAAACTGCTCTTTTTCAAGGACAGCTGTGCCAGAGCTTGTGACTGACCCAAGGTCACATCAGCAGGTGCAAGTGGAGGAGTGGGGAATCAAACCCAGATTAGAGTCCGCGCACTTAACCACTACACCAAACTGGCTATTGAAAGGCAGTGGATGACTGACTGGCATGCAGTTTTATTTCCAGGAATTTTTAAACTGACAACTAAGGAGACAATACCAGAAGAACTCTTAATAAATAAAATATTAATCATGTAGAGGTGAGGAGACAAGGACGCTCAAGAGATGGTTTATGGTTGTTCTGGCTCCTCCTTACATGAAATCAATGAAGCCTTCAGTAGTTCATCTGTGCTGGTGTTTACTTCCTGCGGAACTGTTGACTGGCTGCCTTTCTGGACGCTGGAACAATCGCTGCCTGTGAAAAGAGAATGAGCCGGCTGGAGCAGTGATGTGGTGCACAGGAGGAAGAGATTTATGCGACTGAGAAAGATTTGGCAATGAATTCATGGGTATTTTTAGACCCAGCAGATTTCTTGCCAAATTTTTTTCTCCTCTACAACTGCATATCCAGTTTAACAGTTGATAACCCATGTTGTAACCAATTTTTTTGAGACTTGAGAAAAACATCTTGGTAAAGCTGAAGCTCAAATACTTTGGCCACCAAATGAGAAGGGAGCACTCACTGGAGAAGACCCTGATGCTGGGAAAGACTGGAGGTCAAAGAAGAAGGGGACGGTAAAGGATGAGATGGTTAGACAGTGTTACCGATGCAACAAACGTGAAGCTGAGCAAACTCCAGAGAAAGGCGAAAGACAGGAGGGCCTGGCACGATGTGGTCCATGGGGACGCAAAGAGTCGGAGTCGACTGTCCAACTGAACAACAACAACAAAAAGCTGTGCAAATTAGACTGTTTTTAAAAGCAGCTCTAAACTCACGAGAAATACAGTTTCAGTAACTGGGAACTCATTGCAGCGAGAACTGTTGCCTGAAGATCAGTTGTCATAGTGGCAGATCTCCAGCCACCACTACTCCTCTGAGAGTTTAAAAATCCTACCAAAACGGGGAGTTCCTCCTTTCTGTCTTGACAAGCAACCTCAGCCTGGTATTATTTATTTCCAAACTTTATTAAGGGTTTTTGAAACCGCCAGACAAAGCCCAGCCTATTGGCCTTCAGTAGGTGATTTATTTTCATTTATTTATTTAGAACATTCATTAGCCGCCTTTCTACCTTATAGAAATGCAAGGTGGCTTACAATGTAAAGGTAAAGGTTCCCTTGCTTGAAAGCCAGTCGAATCTGACTCTAGGGTTGCTGTGCTCATCTCCGTTTTATAGCCGAAGAGCCAGCGCTGTCCGAAGACGTTTCCATGGTCATGTGGCCGGCATGACTAAACACCAAGGCGCATGGAACGCTGTTACCTTCCCACCGAAGTGGTACCTATTTATCTACTTGCAATTTCTTGCTTTCGAACTGCTAGGTTGGCAGGAGCTGGAACTAGAGATGGGAGCTCACTCCATCATGCGGCACCCAGGTCTCGAACTGCTGAACTACTGACCTTCCACAGCCTGCAGTTCAGCGTCTTAACCACTTGAGCCACTGCAGCTCCAGGCTTACAATGTACATAAGAATAAAAAACACTAAAATAGAAGAATAGGTTTTTGTACCCTGCTTTTCTCTGCCTTAAGGAGTCTCAAAGCGTTACAATCACCTTCCCTTCCTCTCCCCACAACAAACTCCTTGTGAGGTAAGTGGGGCTGAGAGAGTTCTGAGAGAACTGGTCACCTGACAGGCTGCATGTGGAGGAGGAGTGGGGAATCAAACCCGGTTGTCCAGATTACAGTCTGCTGCTCTTAACCTGTGCACCACTAGGGATGGTCACAAACTAAAGTTTGTGACGAATTCTGGCCTGTTTGTGGTTCGCAAAGTGAAATTCGTGGCAGGTCAACTGGCATGAACTTTCAAGTGGTTCATGGCGGTTTGTGAATGCATACATTGACAGACTGTCTCCACTCAGTCTAATGTTTACCAAACTTCAAAGCAACAGGGGGCAGAACTTGGAGGACATATTGAGGAGCATACAGAGGTTTCCTGCGATTTTGATTAATCTAGCTCGTGTGCTGTACACT